CCACGTCCTGCTGTCTAGGATTGCTCTCTGCCTGTTCTGGAGAGCCTTGTGCCACTTTCAGCCACACTCCAGAGGTTGCTGCGTGCTTGGAGTAAATTTAGCCCAGGGTCCTCTTGTGGTTGTCATCCATCCCTCTGTGTGACATTACAGTGCTGAAGCATCAGTGTGGGAAAAGCAGGAGCCCAACGTTCACAAGTTACAGAGGGAAAGTCTCCAGAGTTGTGGCTCTGGCACATGCTGATGTGTTTTCATGCTCATTGTCGTGCTGTAAACCAAATCACTGGAAAGATCAGAGGTGGCTCTTCTGACAAAGTTTGTCAGAAAACATTCTTTTCCAGGCTGGAAAAGCTAGAGGTGTCCATGGGAAGCAGTGGGCACTAGGGAGCACCTCTCTGGCTCCTACCCAAACAGGTGGTTTGAGCAGTTCCTACTACTGGTTCTTTCTCAGGTCACCGTGATGTATCTTGAACATTAAAGGCATCCAGCCATAATTCTTTTGGTGGTTCTGGGTGGTAAATATTCCTTGCACTTGCTGGAAAACAGGGGTGGGGACAGGTGGGTGTTTCACATCCTGACTGCAGCTGGTGAAGAAGAGGATGGGGAGCTGGTTCCTGAGCTGGGAAGGGTGGGCAGCCTGCAGTGAGTGGGGCAGGGTGACCTCCCTGGGGAAGCATGGCATGCAGGGTGCCCTAAAACTTTTCCCCAGTGTCACCTTTGCCCTGGTCAGGCCTGACTGCTCCTCTGCTCCAGGAAGGATTTCAGGAGCTTGGGCACAAAGTGGCTGGAGCTGGTCCAAACGCACAGACACACACATATGGTTCTGCCCCTTCCTCTCCTTGTGTCAACACTCTCATTGCATTATTGTCGTTCACCAGTTGTTTCCTTGGTGGAGAGGTGCAAGGAGCAACTGGATTTGATGGTGCTTCCCTTTAGCCAGGAGAGCACAGCCAGGGGTTCCAGGGAAATGCAGCAGGGCTGATGGTGACAGCAGTGTGTGGTGGCAGGGGCTGGGTGAGCTGCACAGGGACAGAAGGTCAGCAGAGGGTGAAGCTCTGTAACTGCCTGTGGCCTTGGCTGTTGTCACACCTCAGGAACCAGGAGGGATCCTTAAGGGTACTGAACCACAGAGGGTTGTTTCTGTGAGAGGCTGATTTCCTGCAGCTAGAGGCAAGGCAGCCATGGGTCACAGCAGGAAACAGCTTCCACTCCCAGGTCTGCTGAGGGCTTTGCCTCTTTTTGAGGGTGTATCCAGTCCCTCCAACACAGATCTCAGTATCAGACTGCAGTGGCAGCTGTCCACAGCCCCTCCTGGCCTGTGCCCTCCAGGGGAGGTCAGGGAGCATCCTGAGGACTCTGCTGGGAGAAGTGTGATGTTCACTGAGGGGACTTCTTCCTCCTCACTCTCAAGCCCACTGGGGCCATTTTTACACGTTTTCTAGCACATCTTACCCCTCACTTCATCACTCTGTAGCTCCACATTTCGTCTGCCTTCATGGTAAGTGAAGTATTGTATCCCTGCTGGATGCTGGTCCTTTGCTCCTCTTGCCCCTGACACCATGTTTTGCCAGCTCTGTGTCACCAAAAGGAACTGCCTGGGGGCGAGTTGCTGGTTACCCCATGCCAGGCCTGGACTTTACCCAGCTCTTTCACCTGAGGTTCCTTCCTGTTGCTCATTCCCACCCTTGAATCACAACAGACATCACACCAAAGGGAAGCAACTAAATCTGAGTAATTGGCCACTTGGTAATTTGGTACTGTCACATCGAAAGGAAACCAAAAGTTCCAGGGAAGCTGAGACAAGATGGATGAAGCCCGAGAGCCCCAGTGCTGAGGCCTTGCAAGCTCATTGCAGACCCCACTCCCCAGTCCTGTCTCAGCCCGTTCTCGTGGGTTGATGTCCCCATAACCATAGGTTTGGGGTGCTGAGCTGCTCATCTGGGGTGCTGGGTGCTGCAGCCTGGGGGTGTGGGGTCGCAGAGCCCCATCAGGGTCTCTTCCCTCCTCCTGGAGTAGCTGGGCTGCTCATTGGAAAGGAAGGGGTTAAACCTGGCTCCTGGAAGGTCTTTGGGGGTGCCAGCTGGGCTGGGGGCATGAGGGGCAGGGACAGGGAGCTGCAGGCTGGGGCAGCAGGGTCCTGGGCAGCAGTAAGGGGTGGCCATCAGCCTCCCCCCAGAGGGGCTGGTCTGGCAGGGCCGGGGCTGAGGGGACAGCCCCTGGGACAACCTCAGCCCTCACCTGCCCCAGGATCTGTGGGCAGAGCTCTGCACCCCAGTCCTGCTGCTGGTGGCTCTGTCCACCCAGGGAAGGGCTGCCACGCTTGGCAGCACCCGAGGAGGGGGGGGCAGCTCCCCCTCCCTTCAGCAACATCCCCTGCAGCCACTCCTCTGTTAATAGAGTTAATTGTTAATAGAGTTCCCTTGGTTAACAGCCCCAGTACCTGCCCCCGGGGGCCCAGCTGGGACACCCTGGCACCCCCATCCCTGGCTGGCCCCAGCTCCAGCCCAGGTTTACACCCCATTTGCACCCCCACTGCCCCGGGGATTGCGGCTTACGGGGTCTCCTGGGGACACACACACACATAGACACACACACCCTTCTCTCCCAGCTGTCCTGGCTCTGGGAGCTGCTCCTTATCCAGCCTGGCTTCCACAGAGCCAGTCTTGGGTAGGATGGGGGGGCACTCCCAGCCTCCTGCCCAGGTTTGGCTGCACACCAGCTGGAGAGGGGCTGGACTGGGCCCAGGCTGCTCCCTGGCCCAGCAGAAATGAATGAACGTGCACACCTGGTGGCAACCCTTCCTCCTCCTCCTCCCTGGGGTGAGCAAGGGCACCTTGCCCCCCTTAATGTGGCTGTGCTGGGCAGGGACAGGGAGAGGCAGGGGGAGCCGCCGTGCAGGCAGGAGGGGCACAGAGGGTCGCCCTGTCTGCTGCCAGCTCCTTACTGCCTGTTAACTGATATCCCTGCCTGCTCCATGCAGGACCTTGTCTCCAGTCCCATCTTCCCTGTGAAGGGGCTGGAGCTGCTGGTGGGAGCAGACAGGCAGACACCCCACATTCCCCAAGGGCACAGGGTGCACCAGGGTGCATGGACACTCCCTACCAGGACCACCCCAACCGGGGGGCCCAGCCACTCACCTGGGCCAGGACCAGCTCCAGGGTGAGAGGAACCTCCCCAGGGCAAGGGCTCACCTTGTTTGGCAGCTCTCCTGTGGTCCAAGGACCCCAAGGTTCCCCTCCCTGAAGTGGGGTGGTGGCCAGCCCAGCAGGACCGTGGGGGTGCCAGGGCCAGCCCACACTCCTAGAGCAGGGCAGGTACAGCTCTGGGCATTCCACACTGTTCCCCTCAGGGTAGTCTGGGGCAGGTGGGCTTGTGCATCCCAGCCCCTCCAAACACTGCACACACAGTCCCACACTGACCAACTGGCCTCCTAAATGTTCCTGCTTGGTCCCCTGACATCCTGGTTAGGTCACCCCTGTGGGACTGGTATAGTGACCCAATCAAGCTCCTGTGCTGTGGCTGCCACCCTCCTGTAGTCCTTCCTCCTGGCTCCTGTGGTCCTTCCTCCTGGCTCCTGTGGTCCTTCCTCCTGGCACATGGCAAGCACAGAGCCTAACTGTGATAATCAGGCCTTTCATTGACAGGCTGAGCCCAAACTGAGCCTAGTGGGACCCAGGAAAGCAGGAGGTGCTCTGTGAAACCCCAAATACTCCAGTGACTACCATCTCCTCACCTGCCAATAAAGCCACAGTGGCTGGTCCCCAATTTATCCGACTTTTATCTGCTTTTACACCTCCCCCAGTCCCACAAATGAGGGCTAAAGTGGAGGGTGATCAGACACTGCAAGCTGATGATGCATATTCTGGGGGGCTTTGTAGCCTGAGCCAGGGCCTGTTGCTGCTTGGGATGATTTCCAAACAGTTTAGGTACTAGTGCCAAGATGCAGGGGAGGCAGGCAACTGGGAAAGAAGAAAAGAATGCTACAACCAGACAGGGGCTGAAAACACGAGAAGAGCCTGAAACCAAACCAAAAGCTAAAAACAGCACAAAGAGACACCCCACAGCAGGGAACAAACAACCCAGGGTGCCCAGGAGGCTGCAGCTGGAGGAACCAGGGCTGTCCCCCCTGGATAGGGGACACCACTCCCTGGTCTCATCATCATGTGATATTAAGCAAAGCAACAGAGGAGCCTGGGATGACACAGGGTGAGCTCAGACCTCCTGCCACCTTTTCCACTGGAGGTTGGTGAAATTGGGGAGGTAGACAGGGAAAGGCAAATGGTTCAATGGCCTTGAGGGGATGAGAAAGGTGGGCACAAGCACAGGCTGATGGGACCAGTGGCTGCCAAGCTGTGAGTGAACCCAGCTGGCCCTGGGGTGAGGGCTTGGCTGCTGGCATGTGGCATCTCTGATCATCTGAAGCCTTCACCATGTGCAGGGCCAAACTGGTCCCTGACACCTCTTTTGGTGGGAACACACACTTATGGGGGGCTCTGCCTGCACCCCTTGTGGGGGCTCTCACCTCCCCTGGGGTGGTGATGGGCTGAGCCAAGAGCAGGCACGATGCCTGGGGGCTCCTCGGGCTGGAGGACCCTCCTTGGCTGCCAGTCACCTCTGAGCCTGGCAAGCTTCCCCCTGCAACCCCTTCCTCCCTGCCTGTCCCATCCTGCTGTTCACAGCCAGGGCCAAGGGGTAACACAGAGCATGGAAAGAGCCTTTATTTAGGAAGTATGTGGCACTCAGTGTCCCTGGGCCCTTTTCCCTGCTATCCCCCCCCCCCGACCGAGCCCACTGACATCCCCAAAAGCCACCCACCCCCACCTCCTCTCACTGTTCCTCTTGCTGTGGATGCAGAGACCTCCCCCTGACAGCTCCCCAAACACAGGACCCCCTCCCCAGCCACAGCACCTGCCCCAGCCCACCCCAAGCCAAGCACCTCCATCCCTCTGTGAGCACCCACCCCTGTGCCTGCCCCCCAGACCCCACAGCCCCTCAGAGCTGTGCCTACACCACCCCCCACCCCACATGCTCCCTGGCCAGGGTGTTCCTGTGCAGCCCCGTGGAGGCACAGGAGCAGGGACATCCCCTATCCCTGCCCTGCTACCGGTGTGGAGGCTCCTGCTGCTGCTGTCGCAGCCGCTGCTGCCTGCGGACGGGCTGGGGGCTGAGCACGGGGATGTGTCCGACGAGGCGCAGGGGAGAGCCTGGGCTGGGGATTTCAGAGCAGGGAGATGCTGGCTGCTGTCCCAGGGCTGGGAGATGGTGCTTGGGAGGCGCAGCTGGCACGGGAAAAGGCACAACGGCCTCCGAGGGGATGAGGAAGGCGGGCACAAAGCCGTAGGAGAGATCGAAGGCTTTGGGGGCTACTCCACTCCGTAACGGGGCAAGGCGGGCTGGTGATGGGCTAGCCGGGGCACCTGGGCACTTCGTAGGGCCCGCAGGGTCCCTCCCCACCTGGTCCTTCTGCACCTGGTCCTTCTGCAGCAGCTCCTGCAGTTTCTCCAGCTGCGTCCGGCAGATGTGGGAGCGTGTGCGGCTCTGGCAGAAGGACTCCAGAAAGGACTCAAGGGGCAGGTCCTGGGCCAGGAACTGCTCTATCTGTACCTGTAGGACGGACAGTGGGACAACATCAAGCCAAAAGAGCTGTAGGACCGCAGAGGGGGCACTCCTGGACCCTTGGGCTCTTCTCCAGACCCTGGCATGTGGGAAGGCATGGAGAGCAGTCCAGGGCCCAGGCAAGGAGGGGGCAGCAGCAAAGGGGTCTCAGCTGACTCACCTCTGACTCTGCTTCAGAGGCATCGAGCCTGGCTTGGAGCTGGCCCAGGGCGCTCTGTGGGCTCCACTTCTCCAGGTAAGCCTCTGTGTGTCAGAAGGGGATGGGGCTGCCAACCAACCCCACTGCTGGGGTTGCCACCTTTCCCATCCCAAAGCATCAGCTCCCCCCTCCCTTGAACTGAAACACTCCCAAACACATCCCTGGGGCCACCTGCACACCAAGACCTGCATCCCACCTTGGCACTATGGCTGCTCAGAGCAGCTGTGGCTGCCCCATTCCTGGAAGTGTCCAAGGCCAGGTTGGACAGGGCTGGTGGAAGCTGTTACTGCTCATGGCAGAGGGTGGAACAAGATGATCTTTAAGGTGTCTTCCAACCCAAACCATTCTGTGATTCTATGACTCGTCCCAGCCAAGGGTTCGCTGTGTCACAGGAGCGTTATCCCCCTACCACTCCTGATCATGACTGGACCATTTCCCTGGGGCAAGTTCAAGGATGCTAAGCCCACCTGGACCCTCATATTAATTAATACAGGCCATCCCAGGCTCTGCCCCATCCCATCGGTGGCACCCCACTCACCCAGGCGCTGCTGCTTGTCCCAACATGCCTCTCGGATCTCCCGCAGCTCCTGGTACTTGATGGCCAGGGAAGCCTTCCCGTCCTCCAGCCGCGGGCGAAGGGACAGGTTCACCCTGGCCTGGGTACAGTTTGAAGCCAAACACATCTCCCGCTCCTGCTGCAGACTCTGGAACTGCGGGGACGGGAGCGTGGGATGTGTGTCAGCACTGGGAGAAATGGGCAGAACCAGGCAGATCCAGCAGCCTGTTGGGCGGGGGTCCGAGTCCATCCAGGGGCGAACCCTCTCTTCCTGCACTGTCTCCATGCCTCTGCTCTGCCTGGAGCATCCCGGGGGGATGCAAAGGCTGGCGCCGGGCTACGAACGGAAAATCCCCGCGCCGGCTGCCCAACCCCTCTTCAGGAAAAGGGCTCGGCAGCGGGCACGGATGTCGGGAATGACCCATGCACCCTCCCCTCGCTGCACAGACACTGTCTGGGCGGGGGAGGGGGGGCAGGAGAGACGCTGAAATGGGGACGAGAGCGATTCCAGAATAACCTGCGCCCGCTCCCGCAGAGGAGCCGGGAGCGCGCAGGGCTCATCCCGGCTGCGCGGAGCGAGGCCAGGCTGGGAGGCGGGCGAGGGGCCGGGGCCTCCCCAGATCTCAGGGCTGCGGGGGGCAGCGGATGGGGTTTGGTGGCGGCGGGTTTGGTGGCCCGAGGCTGCAGCACAGGAGCCCCGCGCAGCCGTGGCCGGGACGCCCGAGCGAAGAATCCCCCGCCCCCCCGGTGGATTCTGCGGCTCCTCCAGAGCCCCCGGGATTACGGGTGTCAAGGAAGGGGCAGCGGGCGCCGGGGCCGGGACGGGCGGGGGATGCCCGACCCCGCAGCGCCGGTGCCCGGGCCGCGGGCGGCTCCACCTTGCGCACCGGGACAGCCCCGCTGGGGCGAGCGGCGACGGCTCGGCCCCGCCGGCTGCGGGACACGGTCCCCCCCGGTCCTCCTCGATCCCCCCGGCCCCCCGTTACCTTCCTGCTGAGGCGGGCGGCGCGCTGCAGCCGCGGCTCGTCCTGCAGAAGCGCCCGGAGCTGCGCCGTGCTCAGCGCCCCGAGGCGGCGCGGGGAGCCGGGCGGCGCCGCGGGCCGGGACATGGGCCGGGGCCGGGATTGGGATTGGGATCGGGATCGGGACCGGGACCCCCCCGCCCCCGCCGCCGGGAGCCGCGCGCGCCCCCCGCGCGCCGCCCCGCGCCCGCCGCCCCCGCCGGTCTTAAAGGAGCCGCAGCGGAGCACGAGGAGCTCCCGCTCCGCACCGCGCCCGCCCCCGGCCGGGGGACACCGGCACTGCTCCCGCTCCGCGCACCCTGCGCACCGCACCCCGCCGTGCCCACCCGATACCCCGCTGTGCCCACCCTGCACCCCACTGTGCGCATCCTGCATCCGCTGTGCCCACCCGATACCCTGCTGTGCCCACCCCGCACACCGCTGTGCGCATCCTGAACCCCCCTGTGCCCACCCTGCATCTGCTCTGCCCACCCGATACCCCGCCGTGCCCACCCGATACCCCGCTGTGCCCACCCTGCACCCCACTGTGCGCATCCTGAACCCCCTTGTGCCCACCCTGCATCTGCTCTGCCCACCCGATACCCCACTGTGCCCACCCCGCACCCCGCTCCGCGCACCGTGCGCACCGCACCCCTCTGTGCGCACCCTGCGTTCTGCATCCTACGCCCCGCTCTGCGCGCCCTGCTCCCCTCTGTGCACCCTCTGCACCTCACTTGGCACGACCCGCACCCCACTGTGCGCGCCTCGCACCGCCCCCGCGCCGGGAACATCCCGCACCCTGCTGTGCACATTCCACCTGCTGCCGCCGTGGTCTCACCCGTCTTGTGACACCCCGGTGACCTGTTCTCGCGGCTCCGGAGAGACAGGAGTCAAGGGACACCCTGTGACTGGGACACCCTGTCACTACAGCTCTGTTCGAGCCCCTTTGGCCCCCAGGGAGGGCAGAGGTGGGAGCGCTGCCCCACTGGGACTGGGAACTGCTGCCACAGGGTGCTGTGGTCACTAAATGTTTGCAGTGATTCAGACACCTAGAAGAAAAATTCCAGGACCTCCCAACAGCCATCTCTCCTTGCTACTATCAGCTTGTGCTCCTGGCATAGGAGAACTGCTCTTCCAGACAACACAAATCCATGCTGGAGCTCTCCTGTGCCTCCTCTCCCCACGTTGTGGTGCCCAATACAAGGCAGGCACGGGCTGTACACGGAGGTCCCACCAGTCCTCCGTGCTCTGGTTTGGGGGGCTCAGTGGCTGGTGCTGGAGACCCAGGCTTTCTTTTTCCTCAGACATTCCCGGCTGCAGGTGCCCCACACTCTGCAGTGCTGAGAGCCATTCCCTGGAGCAGTGTCAGGTCCTTTTTGGCTGGGACATCTCCCACTGCTCATTTCTCTCAGCATTTTCTAATTTCTCAAACCTCTCTGGATGGCTCCCAGTGCACGCTGGGCTCCACAGCTGGTGGGCCAGGGATGGGTTTTTCCGGGCTGTGGAAGGTGAAACTCATGGCTGTTACTGTGCTGCCCCAGGACAAAACCAGAAGGGGTTTGTGAAGGCCAAAGTGCTTCTCCAACACTCTGTCCTGGCAGTGCCAGAACTCTGTGGGATGGAAGAGCTGTAGCAGTCTTGTCCTGCAGCCTCACAGCATTAGGTCTTTAGTCTGCACTTTTCCTGGCAAAAATTCATCTAAATTGGTCTCAGAAACTTGGATATGGTGATCCCATTATGAACTTTGCCCTCATTAGTGTCTCCTAATTCAAGTGGAGAATTCCTCATTTCTAACATCTAACCTACTTCTCCTTTGCTTCTATTTCAGTTCACTGCTTCTCGCTCACAGCAGACATTTACCGACGACTTTGAAATCTTGTTTCTAGAGGATCAAAGTATGTCTGTGCAGACAGCCAGGCAGCAAAGAACACATCCTGACAGACAAAGCCTCCCAGCAGGAGTGGGACCCTGGCACCAGGACATTGCCACAGCTTCTGACCCAGGACCATGAGTGTGGTGATGATGTGGGATGAGTTCTCCCATGTGCCTGGTCCCTTCTGAACCCCCCTGTGCAGATCCCAGGGCCTTTGTCGCGGTGTAACTGGGTTTAATTTTCCTACATCCATTCCTGTGAGAAGCACTCAAGGCTTTCTGCCTCCAGGTTGAGCAACCTGGTCTAGTGCAAGGTGTCCCTGCCCATGTCAAGGGGGTTGGAATGAGATGAGCTTCAAGGTCCCTTCAGCCCAAACCAGTCTGTGATTCTGTGATAATCCCAAGACTCCCATCCTGCCACCCGACATGGGATTTCCCGAGTCTCATGGGAGCACACCAGAGACAGAGAACAGATGTCATTACTGGTGAATGAGCTCAAGCAAGCACATTTATTTGGATGCTTCACCAGACACTGCAGAGAGGCTCAGAGTACATGGAAATTTGTGGCATGCAGCTTTTTTGCTCGCTGTGAGTTCTGGAGGCAGGGAACTCTGATGACACTCCAGGGCTGTGTCTTCCTCCCGCAGGGAAGGTACGTGGGGAATCCACAAATTTCACAACTAATTTTTTTATTCTTGATTATGAACATAATAACAAGGAATCACTGGCAAGCACAGGGGAATAGAGCTGAGCAGAGGGGTGCCTGCACTCAGAGTGGGGATTGGAAAGTGGCATTTCACTAAAGCCCTGCTATCTTTGGGCTCCTCGCTCTGCTCCAGAGAGGCTCATGCTCTTTGGCCATTCAGAGCCTTTGCAGAGTGTCCAGTGTGGACAGGAGGAGGAAGAAGCACTAACAATATGAAGCTGGTTTGATGAGGATAAGGGAGGATTTGCAGTTGCCCTTGCACAGGTTGCCCCATGTCATGCCACCCTTGTAATTCAGCCTCACAGAGTAACACGACGAGAACCACCACCCGCCCTCGTAGCTGTAGGCACAGTTCTTACTGTAAGTGTCCTGGTCCCGATCCTTTGTGGAGAATTTCATGTTGTCATGCATGTTGTTGGGATTGTCTGAGGTCATGGCATCCCCCGCCGTCCCGTTGTAGGCGCCCAGCCTCAGCCTGTAGCCATGGGACTCGTCTTCCACGCTGAACAGGTTGTAGTCTGCGAAGCTGATGGTGTCTGCAGAATCCTGGATAACAAACCTGACCTGGTAGACCTTCTGCTTGGCGATCTGGTGGATGTACTCGGTGCCCAGCCAGTACTCGGTGCGCACGTTCCCGAAGCCGAACTTGTAGGTGCTCCAGGACTCGGCCCAGGTGACTGGTGTGTCTCTCTGGTTCCTCTGGATCACGGTCCAGCCCCCGTGGGTCACATTCATCTCACAGTACACCACGAGGTGGTGGAGCCCTTTGGGCTGGATGATGTAGACACCGCTGTGGCTGCCACGGGGAATCTCGCTGCAGTCCTTGGGCCAGCCTGGGGCTGGAAACAGAGATGGTTATTAAATCCCACACAATGACATGCTGAAAGTGGGATATTCCTTTTGTGCCTAGGTCTTTTTGCACACACATTCCTGCCACGGGCTCTGTTCCTGCCACTGTATTCATGCCACATGCTCACAGGAGTAAATCAAAATTTTAACTTGATCAGTGTAGTAGTTGAGCTTCACATCTTCCTAAGACAGGATTCAAACTGATGGGGACACACTGTCTGGGCCTGGGGAGACCAAGCCAGGCATTGCCATCACCCAAGGACCCTTGCCCAGGTTGGGTTCAGTCTCACAGTGGTGTGGTGATTTGCCTGTGCCATGCAGGTGATGTATGACCACAGATAAATGCAAATCTGGGCGACAAAGCCACTTGTGGGTACAGCACAGAGGCTTTAGACCTTTGCAGTAATCTCAGAAACCCCAGAGAGACGGTGATCACAACATCAATATCGTTAACAGTTAGATCAGCCCCTGGAAACTCCACAGGGCAAAGCCATTAGTGTTCTCTGGGCTTACCCAAGTAGCTCTGTAGAGACTTCCTGACTTGGATTTTATTATGGCCTTTCCATGCTCCAGAGTGTCAGCACCTCATACAACAAAGAGCTGAACGCACCTACAGGCTCCTGGGAAGGGACTTGCTCCTCTCCCAGTACCTCTGCCACTGGTTGTCCCCACCCAGATAGGACCTATCTTTGGTCCTACGGGCTAATGTTGACCCAACCAGTTCAGTGACACAGTCAGCCCCAGTCTTCTCATCAACTGTGTGGTGAAAATGGAAAAATTACCAATCACCACTTCCCAGTAAAGAATCATCACTTTCCAGTTTGGATCTTTAGCTGGAAAATTCCCCACGCTAAAGGTCCTCATCGCCTACTGAGCCCAGGACACAGCTGGTAACAGAGTCCCCTGAGGTTATGAGCTGTGACTCCTCTGCAGCCCATCAGAAAACCAGCATTTTTCCTGGGAGGAGCCAGTGCATGTGTAGGACATGGATAAAGTGTCTTGAGAGCTGTTGGTGAGCCCAGCAGCAGTGAAACCTCCCAGGCAGACGCAGAGACTCAC